TTCTCTTTATCTATTATAGTTTTAAAGATAATAGGCAAAAATAAAAAAAAAATAAATGGGGAATGTGTCCATGGGACACAGATTGCCCATGCTTGCATATAACGTTATAAAGGGACATAACTCAAGAACGGTAAAAATAACGCTACACAAATTCGTACTTGATCTGAGTTTTGTGGTAATAAGCATTGTGTATAAGTTTCATAACATTTGGTAGGGGCAAACTTAAGTTAGAGAACGGAAACGAAAAATACAGCAATTCTTCAATTTGTAAAGGGGCATAACTCTAGAATGGTAAAAGTGACGCCACCAAAATTCAAATTTGATCTGTGCTTTGTGGTAATAAGCATTGTGTATAAGTTTCATAAAATTTGGTTGATGCAAATTAAAGTTAGAGAACGGAAACCAATTTCATAAACAGTTAAGATGTTACAGCAACGATTGCGTGAAAATACATTCCCAACATGAAAACAGCACTGACCGATCCAAGCTAGTATAATATTTCAAATTTGACAACGGTAGAGTAATTAAAACAGAGGCTGGGTATTTAAACATCCCAAATAGATAGCAGTTTGATTACAGGGTTCTACTCATTTGGGAGGGATGTATAAGTAGTCACGTTCAATTATTTAACCTTAGTCAAAATTTATTATTATTTTTTTAATCATTATCCAACTGCTATCTATTTGGATGTTGAAATACGCAGCCTCTGTTTTAATTACTCTACCGTTGTCAAATTTGAAATATTATACTAGCTTGGATTGGTCAGTGCTGTTTATTGGAAATGTATTTCCACGCAATCGTTGCTGTAACATCTTAACTGTCGTTACCTTTGAAATTTTTGAGTTGTAACAGTTCATATCGCACATTACTATTTATATTTGAAGCATATCTTTGCAGTCTCTGTTGCAAATAGCTACACAACCTACGTCAGGTTTAAAAAAAAAATAGAATTGTACAAGCGTCTCTATGATGTTCATTTTTTACTGTTTTATTGTATAAATTTCAGGATTGTTATAGTTTTATAATCAGACTAGATTGATATGATTCATTTTACATCGTGATCATACTGATGAAGGATATCTGTTATCCGAAATATTTAACATTTGTTCATTTTATTATTACTTTTTGGTGATGTTGTACCCTTTCAGACTTGTTATATATATATATATATCGTTGCCTCGATGCAGGTGGATATTTGGACGTGTGGGAGTTTTTTTAAACAGACGGTCTTCGAGTACTCAAAATTGTTGCTATTTATTCTGAACTTATCATGCCGAATTTGAGGAAACTTTTCCTACGATTAGATGTCACTTTTTCATGTCAACACACCGTTAACATCTTTCCAGAGCTTATAGGTTGCACTTTGTAAATACAGCTGTTTCACAAGCTACGCCTCTTTTGGGGAGATATATAATATTCATAGATATGTTAATTTGTTAACGTACTGGTTCCCAGATATGATCTCTGTGTTTCATCTCATAGAGGCATAACTTGGGAATGTTACCAGTATAGAAAAAACATGGTAGCGCCTAAAATTTAATTCTTAGGAGGTCCAAAAATGGAGGTAGGGATAGTATAGAATTTTAGTATAAGTTTAAACTCTTAGAAGTTCAGGGCATATAAATGTTGAAAATATGCCGCACAGCCCTATATTTTGAACTTTGAATAAAATAGTAGTGCATATCAACTTTCCGTTCTGGGATATAATTTTTCACGAAACTTCACAGTAAAAGTAGCACAGTTTTAGCCGCAAAGGGAGTTCCTATGGGAAATTGCATTGCCTATATTTACAGAATTGCAACCTATAGTGTTTCTGTAAAAACTCACCGCAGGCTGAAAACGTTAGTAGATTTACTTATTTACTAACTAACCACTGCTAAAATACCCTAACTTGGGATATGATTTTCCGTAGGAGGAAAACGTCAGTACTGTCTAACTATACTGTCCTATGTACAGTTAACTGTTTGACAATATCTCAGCAGTCGAAATATTTATGATTTAAAAATAAAGTATGGATTCGTTAGTCTAAAACGTTTACTGTATTTAGACAGTGATGTTTTTCATATATACATCTTATGAGTCAAGTACAATAGCAGGATATTTTCATATGGAATTAACATGTGATCTTCCTTAATTTAAAAATAAAAAGATGTGATATGATTGCGGAGAAGCAGCAAATACCAATGTTAAAGTGTGTGGTTTGACCCGACCGGGATTTGAACACACGACCTCGAGGTGAACACGCTACCACGAGACCATCGATGCGGTTTTCCATTATCATGAAATTAGTGTCTTCACATGGTGAATGTATAGACAATCTGCATGCATGAATTACTTCATCTTCATATGGGAAAATTTATAGTTTGATGTGATACATGTATACATGGCAAAGATGCTTGTCCATATCTAACGGCAATATTGCTTATATATATATAAAAATAAGATGTGATATGATTGCCAATTAGACAACACTCCATAAGAGACCAAATGATACAGAAATAAACAACTATTGGTAATCGTACGGCCTTCAACAATGAGCAAAACCAATACCGCATAATCAGCTATGAAAAGCCCCGGAATGACAAATGTAAAACTATTCAAACCAGCCGAAAACGGCCTGATTTATGCACAAAATAATGAACGAAAAACAAAAATGATATACATCAAGAAGCGACAACCACTGAATTACAGGCTCCTGACTCGGGACAGACACATACAGAATGGGGCGGGGTTAAACATGTTATGTTTATATTGACCACTGGATGCGTAATTAGATTACACACACAGTTGGAATTTTTTGCGACTGTCATACAAGTGAGAGGTTTAGCTAGCTATAAAACCAGGTTTAATCCACCATTTTCTAAATACGAAAATGCCTAGCTGTACCAAGTCAGGAATATGACAGTTGTTATCCATTCGTTTGATGTGTTTGAATTTTTGATTTTGCCATTTGACTACGGACTTTCCGTTTTGAATTTTCCTCGGAGTTCGGTATTTTTGTAATTTTACTTTTTATTTTGATGTAGGTTGGGATTTATCTTGTAATGATATATGAAAAGGTATCATTTTCCGGTATGCATATTTTACTTGTTGCTACTGTAAATCGAGGTGAATCAAATTATGAATCTCGTATCACTAAAATTTCATACAGTTACCATCATACACTATATAATGACCTTACATGCAGATGCAGGGGCGGATTTAGGGGGAGGACCGGGATGCCTGCCTCCTTATGGAGCTTTATTTGTGGTTAATCCAGACCTTTTACCGGTTCAACAGTGAACTACAAATTTTGTCTAGTTTGGGTCCCGTGGGCCCCCATTTTTCAAAATCCTGTATCCGCATCGGAGTTGCTCACATCCCCATTTGGTCTCTGCATGGTGGGTAAATATTGAGTTGGCAATCATACCATATCTGATTATTTTTGAATCGATTTACCAATTATTGCGGACTTGTCACAAGGAAGATGAAATTTAGCTTTTTAACATCCCAATGTTCAGACTTTTTTTTATGTATTAAGTATTGATGGTGGTCAATGTTGATGTGTTTGGGCTCCAACAAGCTAGTCAAAAAGAATTGTGTTACAAAAATGTGTGAAACAATTGGCCAACTTCATTATTATTCACTGATTTGTTTTGCCCATTTTGTCTTATGATTGATTTTATGAACTTTTTCCTGTTCATCCCAAAGCCATGTTTTTTTCTGTATGCCAATGCAGCCATAAGAATTTGATCCCGGGTAGAAGGTTCATGTACCGTCCCCTTACATTATGAATTGTTAGATATCTTTAAAATGGTTCGAATTCCGACATCTAAACCATATAATTATGTTCTCAATTGCAATGATCAGACCTTTCTAGAGCACCATAGATGTTTGTCCATCCTCTATATTGTAAATCATTAATAAATATATTGGAAACTGTTCATATCCCAACATTCTAATATTCTATGACAAGGCCTTCACGGTATACACACCATGTGTTTTTTATTTCAAGTGAAGCCCAACCATTATATCATTAAATGTTAAATATAAAAAAGAAGAGCGCACATGCTGAAATTTATGTCTGCTTTACTTATCATGATTGGACTTTTGTTAAAAGTTTGTAATATGAAGGTTGTACTACAAGTATCACATAAACTTAACGATATCAAATATAAATATACATAAAGTCAAGATCAGATGAACCTTGCCAGACAGACATGTACACCTAACAATCATACCATACTCCAAATATAGTTAGCCATTTGCTTATAGCATCTGACAAACTGAGTCTACTCTTTATTAGGGTTATAATAAATTAATGGCACATTATTAAATGGAGAATAGCCATGTCATTTCACATTCTGTTTATGTTTGACCTAAACACCTAAAACTCAGTATAGATTTCCATGTATTTTTAAAATGTATTCTGGATCAATAACATATGCTAGGCTTTGAACTGAACTCTCAATTGTATTGTTTCATATTTTTCGTTTTAGGCCTTTTATAGCCGACTATATGGTGTGGGTTTTTTCTCATTGTTGAAGGCCATTAAATTAGATTATATATATTATAAAAGTTCATATAATTGCTTACATCCACTTCATTTGAATTTTGATGAATAGTTGTCTCATTGGCAATCATACCAAATCTCCTTATTTTCATATTTTTAATCAGACCTTGACCAGATGCAGATCCAGGATTTTGAAAAATTGGTGGATAGAGGGCCCCAAAATAAGACAAAACTTTGAGTGGAACAGGTGAAAAGTCTGAATTAACCATAAATGTAGCTCTTTAAAAGGGACCAGGCCCCTGCCCACCACCACCACCCCCCCCCCCCCCCCCCCTTAATCCGCCTCTGTTGACTGCAGTACTTGATATTCATGAATGATGATAATACCAATATGGCTTGTAAAACATGTAAATACTCTGCCTTTTAAGTGTATAATTCTGAAATTTACTAGATTTTGACTAGGACCCTTGTCCATAGATTGACTTTTAAGATTGACTTAAAAAAGCAATAAAAGATATGTATTTTTATTTCCTGTGTCTATGATAATTGTTTGCATTACAACATGTTTAAAAGTCAGTGACTCTGGCAGTCTCTATCAGCACACAACATACAAAGTATATTTCTTTTAAGTCAGCTTCTCTGTTTTACAGTTCCATATAATATGTCCATTCTAGAAGAAAAAATAAATTAATAAATGACTTTATGAATGATAATAGTTCATCCAAAAATAAGAGAAAAAAAACACTTATGATACATGAACAATTAAAATACCTATGATCAGATTCAGAACAGGAGATCATGTGCAACAATCTAGTCAAAAATAACATATATTTGCACATATATTTGCATATCTTTGAAGCTAATGATCTTTTTACATATTGATCTTATCTCCCTTTACAACTTCAAGAGAATATATTTTAAAAGCTTAAAGTATATTTCACCAAGTATTTAAGAGATTCATTCAAAGAAAATTTGTAGCATGCATAGAAAAAGACCCTTCTAGAAGAAATAATTCAAAAACTTGAATTTGGACATTTTCTTAGCTATTCAAGAAATGATACCTATCACATTTGGCATGACAAATTATTACAATAGCAATATGCATACAAATTCAAAAATCTAAATCTGAGATTTCATATATGTTCAATAAAATCAAATATGTGTATTTCTTTATGTGCATTTTATAGCCAGAAACAGGAGGTCACCCCTCACACTAAAAAGAGCATATTTTCAGCCAATATTTAATTTTGACAAATGAAGTCTCATGATAATTTTTCTTCATCCCATTAAATTTTTCAGCTCTAAAATAAGTTTTAGATAAAGGATATGTTATATAAAAGCATTTTCTATGTATTATAAGCACCAAAAACTTAATTTTAGATGCAGAGATATTTTGATGTATGTTTACAGTGGCTCAAATCTCCATTTCTCTTCAACTTCAACTCAAGAAAAGGAAAATCACAAATAGATATCATATGATATGTGAAGAATACAAATGTTCTAGTAAAATGCATACGCATGATCAGTGACAGAATTCAATATTTACATGAAAACCTTATGAAACCGTGTATTGGACTATGTTACAATATGATAAAATTTTGGTGCGTTGCTATAGAAACAATAAATATGCTATAGTTTGCCAATTTTTTGCCAAAATTGAATATATTATGAATGAAAGAGTCAGATCAGCAAGTCTTGCAAAAAAAAAGCTTATTTTCATATTTAGAAAATGGAACACACTCTCTAAATATTGACTATATTGACAAAAAATATCAAAATCAGCTGATTTCTCATTGACAGTCTCATATAAAATTGCACATTACAATCAAACTGACATTCAAGTACAAAACTAGGACTGTTTGACCCTACCTATATATATAGCTTAGTACAGAAATAATCAGTTTTATTGATGACTATATTCCATGGTCCAAAATTGCCTTTTTGCATCATTTTGTTTGTTCGGTAGCAAATTACGCTCACTTTATACAGTTAAAATGATAATAAATGAAGGTAAACTGTACTTTTAATGAAAAAAAATCCAGAAAAAAATGTGGACAATTTCATCAGACTTCAGTCAAAGGCTTTCGAGAGGTCCATCAACACAGCAGCAATATATTGATTATCATCAGTAGCCTTCTTCCAATCCTCAATGATTTTCAAAAGTGCTGTCTGGCAACCGTATCCTGCTCTAAAGGCAGATAAATATCGGTGAAAAATATTTTGAAAAAAATAAACTAGCTGTTGGAAGATGGCTCTCTCGAAAAACTTTGACACAACAGGTAAAATACTGACTGGCCTATAGTTACCAACTTCAAGTTGACTATTCTTCTAATGAAGTGGCACCACTTGAGCCTCTTTTAGTTTGTCTGGAAATACAGAGTACTCAATAGATTTGTTTATTAATTTTGTTAAAGGTGTCACAACTGCTGGTTTTGCCAATTTCAGTACCTGTCTTTACCTGTAGCTTTATTTACAATTTTACACCAAGTTTGTTTATTTGTTTATCTACAAATTTCTCTTCTATACATTTAAAAAATTAAATTACCTTCAATTCTACAATTATTGTTAATAGCTTTTACACTAGGGTGGTTCTGAACTACAGCACAGTCTGATCCAATATCTTTTGCTACATTTACAAAAAAATCATTAAACATATTAGTAACCTTTGACTGATCATTTATAATGTTATCGTTGTCACATAAAATAATGTTGTTCTCAAAATAACTACCTTTGTTTGTTAAGAAAGGTTTGATAGTGGGACAAAAGTCTTTGCTTTTTGGTCCACCTACACAACGCTCTATAAAATAATTTCTAACTGATTGACGCTTTGTTTTGTTTACAAAATTTCTCTGGGCTCTGTATTTTTCCCAGTTTTTCTTAGATTTTACCTTATTATATTTATTGTACAACATCTTTTTCTTAAATACAGCTTGTCTAAGTTCTTGATTCATGAATGGAGCAGGATTTTGAACATTTGTTCGCTGTTTCAATGGTATGTGTTTATTTACAATATTTAGAAGATCAGATTCAAAGTCTTCATATGCTTTATTGACATCATTGTTCTCATCAATTTTCTCACTTAATGTACTATGTTCAAGATCTCTCAAAAAGTGCTCATGATCAAAGTTTTTGAAACTTCTATAAGATTTATATTGAGGTTTAATTGCTGGCACATTGCTCTTAAATTGAAATGATATCATATTGTGTAGATCACTTATTGCACAATTGAAGTCTTCTACATTTTGTATATTGTGTGTTTTGTTTAGACATAGAGAAAAATACATTAGGTTTCAAAACCTGTGAAGTCGAAAATTTATACTGTGACATACAAATGAATATTGACACCATAATTTCATAGGCAACCTTTGATTTCTTTTCTGATTATATTTAAAAACCGACCAGTATAGGTAGCTGTTTTATAATATGCTTCTCAATTGTTTCCTAATGCAGTGTTGTTTTTTTTTGGGTGAGGGGGGGATGAGGGGGTACAATTTTTAATATCCAGCAAAATCTATTCTTTGAACACATGATTAAGTTATTTATGGTACCCGCAGCTAGAATAAAATATAATAGAATAAACACTCTTGTTTGAAATCCCCCCCCTCCCTTTTAAATATCTGGTTCACTTTGCTAGCAAGGAAAACGGGAATTTTGTATAATAGTCCACTGGCAATCAGACTTTACATCTATGCAATTGAATTCTGTCATAAGCAAAGAGTTATTTCGTTTAAAATAAGTAATAATCATACCTGTATGGTTTGTACGCTGGCGGTCGTCAACTTGGAAAACGTAAACAAAGTAGAGGGTGGTAAAGGGTTATTTTCGTGCAACGTGTTTTGCCATTTCTATTTCACGTGCAGCCGTGAAAAAGGTTCTTTATTCACCGTGTTTCGTGAGATCGGTAAAAAGTTTTATGCATTTCATGAAAAAATGTATGCGTGCGCTGCGGATGACTACGTATTACAAGATCTTGTAATTGTGAGTACGACTGACAGCAAGAGTGTTAAACGCAGGACTTCGGCAACCTTGCTTCGGAAGTTGCAACCTACAGTGAATCGCGTTCCTTTTGGTAATCGTCGAACTCATTCAGAACGGTTATCTTATTTGGAAAAGTAGTTGCACAGAATCATTTTTGGTATATCTGATTATTTCAAAAGATTTTTAAGCAATAATTTACCAATACGTAACTTTAAAATGACCACTATTTTACGTTTAATTATATAATGTGTCATATCTCTTGTTTTATTTTGCTCTATAAAATATTTTCTTCAACGGGTTTGTTCTGTGGCCCCATTTGTACTTATCGTCGTGTATTTGATTATCAATTTCGTTAATGACCGTAGTTGTTTTTCCTTTTAAATTTTAAATAAGGTACAAAATGATATCATAGATGTTTCTGCTGGGACTATTATACTAACGGGACTGGAAACTGATCGATCTGTTGAGATTTCATTGTCCCGATAGCGGATTATTGACTTTTTGTTTTGATTGAAAGCTTATCCTGTCACGTGGTTAATTAGCCTTCGATACATGTAAACAAAAGATTTCGGCGAACAAGTCAGCATATAGAATACCGTTAAATAGGCGGATTTAAAATAAAAAATATAATTCAATGCAGAAAAAATTAAAAATATATGAATTATTAAATTATTTTAACAAATTAAATACATTAACTAGAAAGAAATGTTTTTATATGGGAATGAACTAATGGCAGTAATGCCGATTTAAAACTAGTAGGACAATTAAGTTCTTCTTTATTTTTTTATTATTTTTTTTTTTCTTTTTCTCAACACTCTGATTGGTGTAAACTGGCCAGTGCCTTATATATTTGAAAAAAATCTAATACAATATACAACCGTAGTGGTTGAGAATGTTAGTTTGAGTTTGATGTGTTAAAAGAGTGCTTACATAATGCTTTAGTTAGAAGAATAAAAAGGAGAATAAACCACTTTTTTTTAATTATAATACGGAATTTATGATTTGAAAAATGAAACATTTTCTCATCTATCATCTAGCCCAATTTTTTTGACTGATTGATAAATGGCTTTTGTTCACTTTATCATCATCGTGCTATTTTGAGAATTTTTTCGATATTTTAATTCTGCAATAAAAAACATGATTATTTTCATCTTATCATTAACAAAACAATATTTTAACAAATATAATTAAAATAAATAAAATTTAAATAAATTTACTATTGTTCTTGTTATTGTTTCTTCCTAATTCCCTGTAGATCTCTGTTCTGTAGTAGTTGTGTAGTTTAGCGTGGCGAAACCCACACTGACTACTCTTTGTTTTCGTCTAGTTTCAGTTCCCTCTTTTTGGTTGGTTGGTTATTTCCAATTTGATTTTGGGCATTGTGGAGACTAAACGGGTATAAGTTTTTGAAACTTCTATAAGATTTATATTGAGGTTTAATTGCTGGCACATTGCTCTTAAATTGAAATGATATCATATTGTGTACATCACTTATTGCACAATTGAAGTCTTCTACATTTTGTTTATTGTGTTTTTTTTTGTTTAGACATAGAGAAAAATACATTAGGTTTCAAAACCTGTGAAGTCGAAAATTTATACTGTGACATATAAATGAATATTGACACCATAATTTCATAGGCAACCTTTGATTTCTTTTCTGATTATATTTAAAAACCGACCAGTATAGGTAGCTGTTTTATAATATGCTTCTCAATTGTTTCCTAATGCAGTGTTGTTTTTTTTGGGTGAGGGGGGGGGGGGGGGGGGGGGGGGGGGGGTGAGGGGTTACAATTTTTAATATCCAGCATACTTTATTCTTTCAACATGATTAAGTTATTTATGGTACCCGCAGCTAGAATAAAGTATGATAGAATAAACACTCTTGTTTGAAATCCCCCCTTTTAAATATCTGGTACACTTTGCTAGCAAGAAAACGGGAATTTTGTATAATAGTCCACTGGCAATCAGACTTTACATCTATGCAATTGAATTCTGTCATATGCAAAGAGTTATTTCGTTTTAAATAAGTAATAATCATACCTGTATGGTTTGTACGCTGGCGGTCGTCAACTTGGAAAACGTAAACAAAGTAGAGGGTGGTAAAGGATTATTTTCGTGCAACGTGTTTTGCCATTTCTATTTCACGTGCAGCCGTGAAAAAGGTTCGTTATTCACCGTGTTTCGTGAGATCGGTAAAAAGATCAACGTGCAAGAAATTTTTAATTGTTCGTTCATCGTGAAATGGCAATTTTATTTCGCGTTCTTCCGTGCAGATAGCCCCCCTTTACGCCCCTCAAAGTAGTTCTCATGTACACACTTTCGGCAGAATAGTCAAATGGCCTCAAATTGTCGTTGGATTAAAATTGAATCGTTAAAGTTCATACAACAGCTCGTTTTAAATAGGTTTTATGCATTTCATGAAAAAATGTATGCGTGCGCTGCGGATGACTACGTATTACAAGATCTTGTAATTGTGAGTACGACTGACAACAAGAGTGTTAAACGCAGGACTTCGGCAACCTTGCTTCGGAAGTTGCAACCTACAGTGAATCGCGTTCCTTTTGGTAATCGTCGAACTCATTCAGAACGGTTATCTTATTTGGAAAAGTAGTTGCACAGAATCATTTTTGGTATATCTGACTATTTCAAAAGATTTTTAAGCAATAATTTACCAATACGTAACTTTAAAATGACCACTATTTTACGTTTAATTATATAATGTGTCCTTATATCTCTTGTTTTGTTTTGCTCTATAAAATATTTTCTTCAACGGGTTTGTTCTGTGGCCCCATTTGTACTTATCGTTGTGTATTTGATTATCAATTTCGTTAATGACCGTAGTTTTTTGTTCCTTTTAAATTTAAATAAGGTACAAAATGATATCATAGATGTTTCTGCTGGGACTATTATATTAACGGGACTGGAAACTGATCGATCTGTTGAGATTTCATTGTCCCGATAGCGGATTATTGATTTTTTGTTTTGAGTGAAAGCTTATCGTGTCTCGTGGTTAATTAGCCGTCGATACATGTAAACAATAGATTTCGGCGAACAAGTCAGCATATAGAATACCGTTAAATAGGTGGATTTAAAATAAAAAATATAATTAAATGCATAAAAAATTAAAAATACATGAATTATTAAATTATTATAACAAATTAAATACATTTACTAGAAAGAAATGTTTTATATGAGGATGAACTAATGGCAGTAATGCCGATTTAAAACTAGTAGGACAATTAAGTTCTTCTTTATTTTTTTATTATTTTTTTTTCTTTTTCTCAACACTCTGATTGGTGTGAACTGGCCAGTGCCTTATATATTTGAAAAAATCTAATACAATATACAACCGTAGTGGTTGAGAATGTTAGTTTGAGTTTGTTGTGTTAAAAGAGTGCTTACATAATGCTTAGAAGAATAAAAAGGAGAATAAACCACATTTTTTATTTATAATACGGAATTTATGATTTGAAAAATGAAACATTTTCTCATCTATCATCTAGCCCAATTTTTTTGACTGATTGATAAATGGCTTTTGTTCACTTTATCATCATCGTGCTATTTTGAGAAGTTTTTCGATATTTTAATTCTGCAATAAAAAACATGATTATTTTCATCTTATCATTAGCAAAACAATATTTTAACAAATATAATTTAAATAAATAAAATTTAAATAAATTTACTATTGTTCTTGTTATTGTTTCTTCCTAATTCCCTGTAGATCTCTGTTCTGTAGTAGTTGTGTAGTTTAGCGTGGCGAAACCCACACTGACTACTCTTTGTTTTCGTCTAGTTTCAGTTCCCTCTTTTTGGTTGGTTGGTTATTTCCAATTTGATTTTGGGCATTGTGGAGACTAAACGGGTATAAAACCCTATTAGAGTTAAGCTCTAACAAAGTAGCCTCCCAATACCGTAGTCAAATTTTATTCTCTCTTGTTATTTATTTTGCCTTTATTTTTCCGATTGGTATCTTGTACCCTTTGAATTATTTATTTTGGGAATAGCCCTTTTTCTTCTTGTCTTTTTTCCTAATTATATTTTTCATAAATTTCTTTATCTTTATGATATTTCATTTGTAATTTATATAACACTAATTCATCTTCATAGTGTCTACAAACCCATACTGTATGAGTGTAACCATATATAAGAGGTAATAATTCCTTTTTAAGATCTACTAATAGAAGTGATTTTTTATTTATTTTAAAATTTGGGTCTTTCGTCTGTCCATTTTCGGTTACATATTGTCTAAATAGTTTTAATTCTTTACATTCTATAAATAAGTGTTCAAAAGTTTATTGCAATATTTGCATTTAGGTTCCATGTTTTTTAATACTCTTTCTAACTGTTTTTCTCCCGTTAGGACAGCTCTGTGTATTATTTTATATATGAATTCTCTCTGTATATCATTCTTTATGTTAACTATTGTTTTCCATATATTTGTAAATTCTATTTCTTTATTTTCTTCTTCTATCGTTATTAAATTTTTCATTTGTCCAATGATTTCATAATAAATATCTTTAAGAGTAATGTTCTCTGTTAATTTTATTTTATTTCTGTACTGTATATATAATTCTTTTAATTTTTTCGATTTTTTTCCCAATTGTTCTGTATGGATATATTTATTCTCAGCCAGCTCTGGTATTAGTTCTCTTGTTGTTATTCCTAAGAAATATGTATATAACGTTTTCCAAATTGTTTGTTTTCCTGTGATCATGTCACTTAGTTTTTGTAGCCACATGGCATTTATCTTTTCCTCAAAATCAGGCATTTGGATTCCCCCATCTAATTTCTTTTTATTCAATGTTGTTCTTTTTATTAATTCCGGGCCATAACACAAAAATTTATATAACATTAGATTTATCTTCTTTTTATTTCCTTTGTTGTTAATATTATTTTTGCCACAAACCATGCTTTACTTAACATATATGTATTTTATTATTTTTACTTTTGAATATATAACTATGTTTCTATTTTCCCATTCCTTACATATTTTTGCTATCGCTTCTACTATTGGATTCCACTTCTTTTCTATTTTATTTCCCCCAAATTTTATCCCTAGCACTTTAACATTTTCCTTAATTAAGTCCATTATCT